CTTGTCGGATAAACTTCTTTATAGAAATTCTCATTTAGAACTTTTAGTCAAATCACTTTTGATTTTTTATATTCATTTATTTGACCTTTAACACTGATTCTAGCTTCCCACATTTTTCGATGCTTCTTCTGCCATCTGCCATGCAAGTCGAGACCATGCAAGTTGAGACCATGCACTCTATTGCCCAAAAACTTGTTCTTCATAGGTGCTACTCTTGAAACATCTCTAATGTTTCAAGTCATGTTTTCGCTAACTTCATGGTGGTGAATGTAGAAATCTATCTTCTTGTCGCATTTGGTGCTTATAGTTTGTGAGGATGTTTCATCTTTCTAGGATTTTATTTATCTTTGTAAGATTTTAAGAGGTCCCTTGATTGACTTTCCATTAGCGAGTGTTAATAACTATGTAAATTTATTTTTTAATTTTAATTTTTTTTTTGGCGGCACTATTAGCTTTCATGCTAAGAGGTGATCAGTTCATTAACTGTTCTTGTGGTTGGATATTACTCTTGTTTAAGGCCTCTACTTACCAAAAAATGCACATTCATAAGTGGGTGTTTACTTGATGAGTAGTAATGCTGGCCCACCATTGGGTGCTACATTTGACGTGGGGCTTTGGAGGTCGGTTGAACCGGCTTGCTGGATGGCCTGTCGAACTGGCTTGCTGGATGACTGGTTGAACCGGTAATGATAGGTTCCGGTCCAGCCTCCTGCTAGACCAGTTGGCTTTTGTAGGGGCGTGACTTGCTGCCCACTTTTCTCCCCTTTCCTTTTTCATTTCCCAACTATTTCCCCTTTATTTGTGTATGTGTTTGCTGAATTAGGGTTAAATTATTTTTTGTTTCTCTTTCAAATTTCTATGAGTCTTCTTCTCTTACTAGGGCTGCATCAGACGATAGGTGGTTCTACGACTGTATCCTGCTCCAAGGTGGTGTTGTATAATCTTTGGTTCTCTTTCTTGCTATCATCCATACCTGCCTCACCGCCTGCTTAGACCTTCACGTCCTTCCATTCCAGCCGTCAGCAAGTCCTTCCTCTCCCCTTGACCTGACAACCGGCCTGCAGCTTTCCCTAGCTCCAACTCCAACCATTAACCTCTCTTTCCCCTTGTCCCGCCAGACTGCCGCAATCCCCATCCAGCCCTCCAGATTCAGTCTTCCTACCTCCATCTCCCTATTCCTAGCCACTGACCACCATGACCCCACCCTTCCAACACTAACTGCACTCCCTCTACTGTTGCTACCCTCATCCGTCTCGCCGACACAACCGTTGTCCCCGAATTTTCTTATCCGACATTAACTGGATATTGGTGTTTGTTGTGTTCTTGTTTTTGTTTTGCATCATGATTGTATCCCTAATTGTTTGTTTAATAAAATTTGCTTTTGTTGTTGTGGGTTTGATTAGTTCTGGTATTGTTTGGTATCAGAGCTAGTCTAATCCTAGTCTTATTTCAGGGTTTCCTAGCATACGTCTTATCCCTCTATAAAAAAATTTCGTTCATATTTCCAAACCACAGCCAAATTTTGACTTTAACCCTAAATTCCTTTTGCTGATTTTTAAAATCAATAACCATAAATCAATTTTTCATACTCCTTTTCACATTTTAATTCTAAACCTCAACCATGTCACCAAGGAGATACATGCCCAAGCATATCTGGGAAGAGATACAACAAAAGATTCGCCGACTTTAGTGGAGACTTGCACACATTGAGGATGACACCTAAGGGGGATTTTCCCTCGATGGTGATAGGGAAAGTCGAAGAGGCTAAATGGACTTGAATTTCTATACCTTCTATGGGGAGAATATTAGTGATGAAGAAGAATGAACGCGACGTTTCGAAATTCAGTATCAAAGGAGATCTAGAGAGAAGACAATCGTTGGAGGACACAAAGACTTTAGAATAAAGGAGTTTAATGGAGGTATGGATCTGGATGATTTTATCGATTGACTACAATCAGTCGAGTAGATCTTTGAATACAAAGAGGTGTCATAAGATAAAAGGGTGGAGCTTGCATCTATCAAATTGAGAAAGAGCACCTCCTTGTCGTGGAGCAACTTGCAAAGGTAGTGGAAAAGAGAAGACAGTGAGAAGATTTTCAAGTGAGAGATGATGGATAAAACGACTTAGAGGAAATATCTCCCACTCCACTACCACCGGGATATGTTTTTGAGACCACCACCTACAGCTAAGAGACCTATCAATTGAGGAGTTTATGACACCGTATGAAGTGTGATTTAGTTCAGACAAACAAACACACCATAGCCCATTATCTAAGGGGCCTGAAGCTAGCTACTAGCAATCTGGTGCAACTGCGGCCTTATTGGTCACTTAGGGATGTCTAGACCTTTGCATTGAAAGAGGAAAGACAGCAGAAGCAGAGCAGACAGCTGCTATCAGTCAACCACCCATAGTTGGAGACGCCAACAGGAGCATGCCTCAGGGAGTGGGGTAAGCTGGTTCAAATAAGGATAAATCCACCCTATGTGAGAAGAAGCTTGAGAAGAGCAGCACACCCACTACAGTCTCTGCCAGAAAATATTTCATATGCCATTGATTTGGACAAATTGTCTCCTGTTGCTCGACGACTGTGTTGTCTTTTACCGAGTAAGGTGTTGTGGAGGAGGTCAACGACGAGGAGTTAGCTAAGGAACAGGGCGAGCTGCATCATCTTCCACCTGATGAGGAGATGTTTGTGGTTTGACAGGTCATACAGACCGAGGATACGAGGGATTCGCAGTGACTTCGTCACAATATATTCTACACCCGTTGCACCGTGAACTAGAAGATATGCAGTCTCAACATCGACGTAGCAATTCATATGAATATTTAATCTACATAGATGGTGGAGAAGTTGGATCTCATGACTCAGGGGTACTCCCATTCATATTATCTGACGTGGTTGAAGAAGGAAAATAAAGTCAGAATTGATCGAAAGTGCTTAGTGAAACTATCGAATCAGGTTTGGTGCGACATGGTCTCCATTGATGTCTGCCTCTTTTTTTTGGAGATACTATGACAATTTGATCGTATGACTCAACATAAGGGATTCAGAAACATCTATTCCTTCACAGGAGCCCTTGTCAGCAGAGTAACATTGGTGGGATCAATTTTAGTAACGATAGAGGATTATGAGATGGAGACACTAGCATCAGACGTGGGACGGACGTGACAAAAAGTATTTTAGGATATCACGATTTATACCTTACTTCCAGTGTCACCACCGTTCGGGGAGATTCAGACTACCCTCACTTCGAATCAGGTTGAGGCGACCATGGATTATTTTGGGAAGATTCAACAGTTTAGTCAGGACACACTGACGCAGGTCCTTTCAGTAGTGGACCCCTAGGAGAGCGGATCGATATGGATGTATTCTCGCAAGTGGAGGAAAATCCTTAAGTGCTTTGAGGGATAATGCAGCCTCTGTTAGTGTGGAGCCCGATCCCGCTCCCGACTCCCGCGAAAGGTCACGACCCCGCTTCTCTGTCGCGAAACGTTGCGCCAACCGCTCCCGCCTTCGATGTTCCTGTTTCTGCGAAGCAAAGCTTCGCTTCGCTCCGCTCAACCTCTCTCGCGCCCGTTTTCACAATAAAAGACATCGCAGTGACTCCAGATTAAGTTACGACACAACCTTTTGTGTTCTTCAAGAAGTCACGATTTTCTTCTTCAGGCTTCCTTCGGGATAGAGGAAGGAAAGTGCAAGCAGTAGTTCTTTGCGGTGAAGAAAGAAGAAATAAGAAGAAGAAGATTGTTCTCCTTCACTTCTTCTTGGTGGCTTGTGACAGAAGAGAAATTGATTTTATGGCAGAAGAGAAATTGATTTTATGGCAGAAGAGAAATTAATTTTATTTCTCTTGTAAGTTTATCTTCTTCGGTGTACCTTAATTTTCGGTGTTCTTGTTCTTGGGTGAATCTCGGTGTAAGGAGAGAGATGGCAAGTGAGAGATCATGTAATTGTCGACGTGATCAAATGATGTAATTCTTCAATTAATAAAATCCTCTGCAACTCCATGGATGTAGGCAATTTGTCGAACCACTTCCATTGTGTTACTGTTTTCTGGTGTGAATTTTCTTGTTTTATTTTTCACTCCGTTGATCGTTCTCCTATTTGATTTATATATATACCACATTAACTGGTGTATATTTCACCTTCCCACTTTTTTCCCCTCTATTCATATGCTTGTTTGTTGAATTAGGATTAGATTATTGTGTGTTTCGCTTTCAAATTTTTGTGTGGAGTCTTCTTCTCTTATTGGGGCTGTATCTGATGACAAGTGGTATTCCGACTGTATTCTGCTCCAAGTTGTTCTTATTTCTTCTCTGATTCCCTTGCTCTCATCGCTACCTGCCTCACCCCACCGCCAGCCCACACCTTCCCTGCCCTCCACTCCAGCCGCCAACCATTCCTTCCTCTCCCCCTACCCTGATAGCCGGCCTGCAGCCTTCCCCGACCCCAACTCCAGCATCAACCCTCTTTCCCCTTGTCCTGACAGCCTGCTGCAATCCCCATCCAGCCCTCCAGATTCAGCCTTCAGCCTTCCTATCTTCTTCTCCCTGCTCCTAGCCACTAGCTGCCTTAACTGCACCCTTCAACCACGAACTCCACTCCCTCTACCATTGCTTCCCTCTACCACCTCGCTGACACTACTGTTGTCCCCGGATTTTCTTATCAGGCCCTAGTAGGAGATTGATGTTTGTTGTGTTCTTGTTTCTGTTTTGTGTTGTGATTGTAACCTTAATCTTTTGCTTAATAGAATTTGTTTCTATTATTGCGGGTTTGATTAGTTCTGTATCATTATTTGCATTGTTAAAAGCCATAAAATACTGCAGTACTATGCTGCTGTTTCATGAATTCCTGTATCTTTCCGTTGATACTTACCATTAGGCTGTACTTATTTTATGCACATAATGAGATGAAATTTTAGTTATTTCTTTGATGTTTGTTGTATTTTGCTTTTCATGGTTAGAAATATCTCGTTCCAAAAATATTTTGTTTTCATAGGAAAGAGCGGGATCTGTTGTTGTGGAGGCTATGCTGTCAAAATCAGCACCGGTTTTTTATGGAGACCTTAGAAGCCATGAGAGGGTAATCATTGCTGTTATTTTTGTTGCTCAATGCGATTTTGGTTCTTAAATCTCTAATGATATCCTATTATATCTCATACATAATATTGCATTAAGTATATGTATTTTTTAATGTAGGTTCCTGTTCCATTCTCGACATTCCTCAACTCTTGCAAATCTTACCAGACAGAAGATGGTAATTCCAATCATCAAGAACAGATCAACAAGAAGCTGGCTTACTCTAGAGAAGAACAGACATCTATATCGGATATCACTGATTTAGTTTATTTAGCGCAAGTAAGAATTTTTGGAGTTTTTTTGTAAGCTTTTGTTATGTTTTTTTTTTTTTTAAAATTTAATCATCTGTATTTTTTAGTTTTCTCCTATGCCTTTTTATTGATGAATCCATAATTCATGGATGGATGATGGATGTAACTAAATTGGTCAAATTGATTTTGGGACGTGCTTGCTGACTTAATTATTTCTCGCAGGTCCCCATTTTGAGTGCTAAAATTAGAGAGGCTTGTCCATTGGAAATTTTGAGAGGTGATTTCGAAATGGTCTGTGAATTACCTTCACCACTTCCTTTTTATGCTTTGATTTCATTCATATGTCTATGCATCTATATCCACTTGTCTTTTATTTGAAAAATTTACTTCAAAAGAAAATTAAATGCAATAGAACATTTTAAAATATATATTGTTTTATCCATCGTTTTAATGTTGCAGCCTAATTTTCTGGGAAACAATGCAGTGGAATCTATCAATTTATGGATGAATAGGGCTTCTTCTAGATCTAGTACACACTATGATCCGCACCATAATCTGCTTTGTGTAGTTGCTGGTTTTAAACGTGGTACGCTATTATTTCTTGAGCCCTTTTTCTCTTACAATCATTCTAAAACATTGATTTTATTTGCTACTGAGAATTCCATGATTTGTTTCGTAAGTCAGCTGCGGATTTGCAACGTAAACATTTTGAATGACCTTGAGTTGTGCCATGTTAGCGAATCAGATGCTCCAATAGACTATGGTAGGTGATCCTTTTAGAAGATTTAGACGGTTTGAGTTCCTTCTTTGACACCTATGGAGATTTGTTGGACAGACCTGCAAATTAGCTTTCATTTGATAGCATAAACATGATTGTTAATGTTGAACTTATACTTAATTTAATCATAAAGACCCTAGTAGGTTGAATAGTGGAAGTTTCTTGTTGCTAAAAGTGCATTCTCTGTTTTCGACATTCTTGTAATGCAACCAGCCTTCAGTTCGGATAGAATATTGAAGGACCTTTATGGCTAGTGGAATATGTTTCCTGTCTTGTATTTCTTTTAACATGAATATGAACATGCAAAACCATATGCCGAAGCCTTTGGATGGAAAAGGAAGATGGATCAACTACCATCCATTTCTTTTAAGAAGAATGGACGGAGGTGATCCTGGCAACTGGTAATATGTTCTCTGTGCCGCGTGTGCAGCTAGGTACCGTGGTTCTGATTGCTACAAGTAAGATTGATGCTTGTAAAAGTAATATTGACTATGTAAATACTTTAATAAATTTAAATGAAATTTCTTAAATTTTGAAAAATCCCAACTAATTAAATATTAATTCAAAAACTATAAATAAATACGTTGAGTCAGTAAACAAAGAATAATATTATTAAAATAAAATAATAACCAAGATCTTAATTAGATATTTTTAATTAATAAGAACTAAAATCAAATAAATAAATTATTAATTATCTATTGAAATGACATCTGATTTACTTCAAATTTGTACCAATTACACCTTGAACTGTGTATGAATTGCAGCAATTTTGTCTATAAAAAAATTAAACAATTGAATGAATATTAAATTTCTTAGGATTTTGATTGAATAATTATGAAATTAACTATTAAAAGTCTTTGATTAATTAACAATGTGTTGTATAATGTCAAATTAGTTTCTAAAAGACAATGATAGCATCAGATATTAAATTTTGAAAATTATTGAATCAAATTCTTTAAAATCTTCAAACAAGTCATTTTCTAATTACATAATTCAATGAAATAGATAGACACTTCAAAAATTCAAAAAGAAAAAAAACAAATCAAATCAGGAGAATTATCAAGTTTTAACTAAAGAACTCTAATAACAAAAGAAAATCATAGAAATAATTTAAAAATATTATGATAAATAAAATATTCTCTGTTAATTAGATATTAAATAAATACAATAATTCATAAAAAATCGTTTAATGTCAAAATCATTTGAAATTGTTGTAGTAGATGTGGAAAATCATTAAGGCTGCGTTTTGTAATTTGTAAGATTCCTTAGCTGTTGAGCCCCACAACACTCCTCCATGGTTTATCTCCTTATGCAGAAGTCACCATGGATGGTGGATCTGATATCATGAACTAAACGGATTGGTGAAACTAACTTCATTTGCTAATTTCCACTACTACAATTTATATAACTTTCTTTACACAAATTCGACAACAAAGGAACAAACAGGAAATGAACACACACATACAACAACTGCCATTTCTTTTTTCTTGGAGCCATAAAAAACATTCCCTTTATTTCCAGTTGTGCCTAATCCATCAACAATTATGGCACGGACAATAATGATAGGAAAACAGGGAATGGAGAAGTAAGATGAGGATTTTGGAAAGACAACAACGGCTGGGAAAGGCTCGAGTGGAAACTGTAGACAAAGGAACAGATAAACGAGGTATTTGAATTCAAATTCCATCCATTTATATCTAGAAATAAAGAAAAATCCATCCTTAAATGCTTTCAATTGCAACAAATAAAAGGGAAGACAAGACTAATTTCTGTCAAAATCTACGAACAGTATCTGATGTCAAAATTTATAATACTTTGCAATTGTTTCTTTGAAGGGGAATTTTTCCTGAGCAATCCCTTCTTAGGCTTTCTTTTTCACTTTTGTCTCTTTGGTTTTCTTTTATCAGCCTTCTATTAAATCTCCTTTTTATCATCTCTTGTTATCGCTTGTTTCTTATATTTCATCCCCCTATCTGTTCAATTTTTTTTTCACAAAAACATATAGTGTTTCAATCTCCTGACTTCTTTCAACCGGCTTGTGCTCATCTTCCCTATGGAGAACGAATATGAACTTGAAAACAGGGGCCTGAAACTGGGCTTGATACTGTTACTTTTCTACTGAATATTTATTTTTTCATACAATTTTGATTTCTTTTGATAGTAGCATTTAACCTATTTTTTTAAAATGAAAGACAGTGATTCTTTCATCCGTTGATTCTGTGAGTGACCATACTATATTTGCTGATAATTCTTTTTGTCAATGTGGTGGTTTCAGCTGTTTTATGGCCTCCTTCTTCAACTCCTTTACTATACCCAATGCCTATCTATGGAGAAGCATCAAACCATAGGTACCTTCCATCTCAGTTTGATGTCTAAATAGCGTACTCTGTTCTTGCTTTATGTGTGTAATGCAAATTGTTTGAACCATTTTTTTCTTTTGTTCTTAATTATTTATTGTTACCATTCTTAACTCTTTCTTAAGTTTTTAGCTTAAAAAGTACTAATATGTTTTGGCTGTTGTTTATCTATAGTGCCGTTGACCTAATAAGGCCCGACTTTTCAGTGCATGGCAGAGCTGTTAAGTCGAAGGAATATTCACAAGAGATCATTCTTCATCACGGTGATGCTCTTTTTATCCCCGAGGGTTGGTAAGATTTATGTTTAATATTTCTTCTCTTGATGCCTTAAAGATTAGAGAAGATGATGGCTAGCTGTTCTATTAAACTCCATTATTGCATTCTATTACGGGAAACCTCTGTACAAATTAAAAGTTTGAATCAGTAATATTTTTCTGCTCAAGAACAAGCCTGAAAGAAAATTTGGAACATCACTTATTTTGTTTTTGGCCTTGTATTCAGCTTAAATTTTTTGGAGTTGATTCAGAGAATATCATTGCCGCAGAGGCCTGGTTAACGACTAATCCCACCTAAATTCCTGAGTTTATTATGAATAGGGCATGTTCATTTGTTATGGTTAACTCTCAAACATGTTAAATGGGCTGTGGCAGTTTGGATTCAGTCTTCTTCTATCCATGGCTTTAATGGGGATTGGAAAATAATTGTTCAATGGTAATCTTTGTTTTGTCAAAGTTTTTGCTAAGTGTTTTAAGTTTGTAAATAATTACTCCATTTCCTACTTAAATGTTCCAGTGAGAAAGAAAACAAACTGGGAGACACCCGTTCCCTGGAACTCAGTTTGTATTAAGGGTTTATCTTTTTTTTTACTCCCCTTCTTATTATGTATCCAGCAAGTATGACTATATATGCTTGGCATATGAGAAACTAATTGAGATTATAGCAGTCTTTTGACATATATTTTGAATGAATTCACTGCTTAAGAAAGAAAAATTGTAGCTTTTGAAACCTATCTTGCGTAATAACTGCATTTAGCAGTGCTAAACTGAAGGCAGAGTGCAAAACCCTGGAAAATTAAGCCATACATCTGTGGTTAATCATGTTCATGTTTGTAACCATTGAATTCTAGTTGTATATAATCAAGATATATAATTATCCAAATTTTTTGACTTAGATCTCACACTATTGCTTAGGACCATGTTTGCATTCTCGTTATCAACTATTAGTCATCTTTCCTTCACGAAGGCATATGCAAGTTGACTTTTTCTTGTATCTTCATAATTGCTGATGTGCGAAAGGGCTCAATGAGCCTCTTGTATTGTGGCTTGGCGTTCTTGAGAGGTGATTTAGTTTTATATTTCAACTTATTAATGGGTTTTTGCTCAATTATAGGGTTCAAGATAGCCAGCGAACTTATGACCCATAGTTAAATATCTCTCGTAATGTTAAGTGAACTTTCAATTAAAGATGTCACTTGACTTTGTTCTTTATGTGGGTGCTTGCATTTGGCAAATGACAATCTCACAATTGTGGTCGTCTTGCTTCATGCTTGGGGAACATGGGTGTAGGCATATATGGTTGTCACTTAGGGTTCCATCCGAAAGTTGAGACCCTAATTCAAAAAAATTAAGGGCATTTAATAGTGAGAGTATAGCTGTAAATCAAGCCTTGTGTTGCAAGTATAGTGTTAGATGAAAGAACCTTCATCAACAACTAATAAGTCAATACCTGTAGGTTTAGAGTCAATGAGACTTGGCTATGATTGTTGTATGTTTCATTTATAAATTACATCCATGGATGCTCTCATCCAAGGTAGCAATATTCGGATCGATGGTGATGCTTTTTAGCCAAGGTATGATTTTTTTGTTTAACCTTGATTTTCTTTACTGCCAAAAGGATCCCTTTTCCGGTAATCAAAATTTCAACATGTCTAGTTGTGATTCATAAGTACTAGACATGACTTATAAGGTTTCAAAGGCATGACATGACCAAATCAGTTTGTAAACACGAACTTTAATTAACCCTAAAAAGGGGATGTCCTATGCTTTGGTTTGTTTTCTTGGTTTTAAAGATGTGGAATGTAGTCTACATGCCATAAGGGCTTCTTGATTTTTACATTACCCTTGGTGGAATAGTTTTATATTCCTGGGAATATGTTGGCGCTTTAACCCACTTTTTGTTGTATTTTATGAACTTTTATTTCCTTTTATGCATATAGTTGGAAGCTGATAAGAGGGGAACCCAGAATTTCTATGATGTTGTTTGAGAAATCGGGTGTTTTTTTGGCTATTACTTATTATTATTATTGGGTATTTTTGTCATTTTTACTAGTTAGGAAAGTTTAGAAAGAAAGCTCAGAGGAATTCTTTTGTCAACCAGATAGATTTAGATTACAAAAATTAGATAACAAGGACATGTTTTATGCATTTTTGCTCATTTTGTAACCTTGTATGACCAAACCGAGAAAATTTAACAGTATTATGCTCTATTTTGTATGGTAACTCAGTAGTTCCATTGGCATCTTATTCATTCGATGTTTTGTGAATATGACGCACTAGGACTGCTCCATAAATTTCAGAAGTGATTTTGACAATCTTTCAGCGTGGGTCAAAACCTCATAAACTTGACAAAATTGCTCAACATCTTTGTCGGATGAAAGAAAAATGAATGAGTTAATGACAATGCTTGGGCACTTGAACTGGAGGCGTTGCCTATGGTGTAAGATGACCCTTCTTTGGGCATTATAGACCTGAGCTAGCAAATGACAGCTCTATGGGAGAGCTCGTGAGCACTATAGACTAGGGTGTGCTTCCATTTGTTGGTGGAGGAGAAGATCAAAATGGGAAGGAGGTGATGCTTGGACATTGTGTTCCTTTAGCTTACTCTAGTGGCTTGATAATGTTCTCCTCAAAGCTATTTTTTTCTTTTGATGAACGTCATTTCTTCTCCTTGCTATGAATGAGTAAGACGAAGGTTACTTTGTTTTTTTCCTTCGATTGTGGAGAGGATGGATGGGGAAGGGGATGAATCTCTCTCGCTCTCACACAATTTTTGCATGGGAGAAGAAAAGGAAAAGTGTAGTTTAAGGATTTTGCATGCATGGAATGAAAACCTAAGTGGTGACATGCGCATGGGCTATTGGAAACTTACATAGCTGCATGGAGGGATTTTTGGCATGGGAGGGTGGGAAGAAGCTTCTTGGTTTCCATATGTCTATCAACCATTGCATGAGGGAAGTTTATAAGATTTTTGTAAGCATTTTAGCTGGAAAGCATTCTTATCTCCATATGGTGGTGAGGAAAGAGAAAAAGGGACATAGGTGTTTTTCATGACATGCTTAGTTGTAAGGAGGATTCACATTTGTCATGACCTAATTATACTGTGAAGCATTGCCTTGGCATGTTATGTGGCAGAGAAGGAATCTGAGCATACTCTTTCATTTAAAATCCAAGCCATTAATTGTGGGGATCTTACTCTTATCATGTGAATTAAAGATTTTGAATTCGAGTGTGGGTTGGATAGAGTTGAGTCCAGCATTTAGTTGAATAAACTCGGATGAGAGCTGATGTTAATGTTGGGTTGAATGAGTTGATCATAGTTTGAGCACCATAGCAAATATGATGATCAATGTTAACTAAAGTTTAATTAGTTGATTGGTCATATGAGGTCGTCGATGTTATTAGATTCTTTGATAGACAAATAGGAAAGAGAATGCTGAATAAGTTTGATTGTGATCAAATAAGGCAATTGATGTTGAATAATATTAAACATTATTGGTTGGATTTATATTATTTGATGGTGATCAGAGTTAAACTAACTTAATCGTGGTCAAATGAGATGGCTGATGTTGATTGTGGTTAAATAAGTGGGATTGGTTGTGACTAAAATTGAACATGGTCATATAAGGTAATTGATGTTGACCAAAATTTATTAGGGCTCATTATAGTTAAGTAGGTGACTTGTGTTAATCAATGTTAACCAAGGTCAAATTGGTTGGCTGATGTTGATTTCGGTCAAATGGGGTGTTAGATTGAATTGATCGAAGTTTGTTCAGGGTCTACAGGCTTAATCAAGGTCACATTGGGCTATAATGAATGTGCCAATCGGCATGAAAGAACCCTTTGAAGTTATGGAGTCTTGGTGGAACCTTGATTAGCCCCATAAGTTCAGGAAAAATTATTTTGATTAACCATACCCTTATATCAGTTGGATTTGATCCGAGCAGATAAATCTAGTTTCATTAAGTGAGTTAGAATTTAGTTGGTCAACTAAGACTATAATTGATTGATTTGTACCTATTTTACCAATAAAGGCATTAATTGATTAATCTAGGCCCAACTGAGGCCATATGATAAATAATGCTATTGGTTAGCTCAACCACATTAGTCAAGAGTTAACCAATGATGCTTGGGAGCATTCAGGTAACACAATGCTTGTTTAGGTTGGATTAGTTGATACCATTCTAGGGCTTTTAGAATGTATTTATGAAGAGAATTTAGTTGGGGAGTGATTGTGGAATAACGAGGGATAGAAATATGCTAGGTCAACGACGTTTGGAAGAAGAAAATGACATTTAAGCTGTCCCGATTGAAAACAACGAGCGACCGACTAAACAACGTGTGGGCGGCGAGGCCGATCCATCACTTGTTCCTGAGCAAGATATAAATACATGACTTGCAAAAGAAAGAGTATGCAACATTCTGAAGAGCATAAAATATAGTCTCCAAACACAATAACAATAATGAAAGTCTGTTCAACCTGAAAATTAGCATATAAATAGTTTTCTAATAGCAATTCACCTAATTAGAAATAAAGAAAGAGAAAAAAAAATCATAAAGAAAAAAACAATTAGCTGAAATTGGTAAGGGAATAGTGTTCTGTGCATAACAGACGTCCACAATAGTGGGATTCCACAGTTGCCGCGATCGGACACTCGACGAGGTTCTGTATCCCGCAGAGGCGTGAGCTCCCACATCATCTCTCAGGGTAAGAAGGGCTTTTCCTTCTTCACTGAACTTCTGGAATTGATCTATCATCATTATAACAAAATCATTGACTTATTGTGTATGAGACAATCCCACTAAAAAATTTGTGCTCACATCCATTTCAGGAAACTCCAAAGCACATACATTCTTCCAAAATTTGTCCTAATAGAATAAATAGTCATTTTTTTTTGGGCACAATCAAAGTTGGAGTTGCAGCTGGGTTAGTACTCTTACGAACCAAGCCTTTAAACCTCAAGTAACATGTTTTTGCAATTTTTCATACTCGACTGGTTGCATCTCATAGACGAG